TGGTCTTTCATTGTTTGGTGCTTATTTGGGTTTGTTATCTAGGTTGTTTCCCTTGTCGGCGACGACCATTTGCTTCCGCTTTGTCGGAGCACACTATGTGCTCAACGTTTTGCTGCACACAGATTTTGGTTGTTATTGATACCAGGGGGTGGGCACGGTTAGGTGAGGGTGGAGGGTGAGTGGGAGCGGGTAGGGGGCACTGGAAAGTGACCGGAAGTGGTTGGTGGTCAGGTTAGGGATTTTAAAATAGTGGACAAAGGTAACCCGACCCAGAGAAGGCCTCAAGTCTAGGTCCAACCGGTTAAACTAGTCGGGTCGGATCGGGTTTCAGAACATAGGTTGTGACTGCTCATTGGGGAACTGAATTGAGGTGGGTGCCTCAATGCAATGAATTCGTGTGGGGAAGAAGTCATCTGCAATGCCATTTGCTTTGGAAGAATTATGTTCAACGCCAACTTGGATTGGCATCGACGTATGGTCTGAATGCCAATGCTAGTTCCTCGCGTTGGGATTTTGCATTGGGCTAGACAGAGTCTCTAGTAGTGACAAAAGTTCCCTTTTTATGAAGTATAAATACACGAAAATGAGTGGAAATAATAACAATCTAATTATGTTGGATCTAGTTGGTGAAGACTATCACTCACTCTGTCGATTAATATAACTCAGTCTAATTATATTTGGTATTGTTTGATGAAGCGAAGATGATTGTTTGGTAGCACAAGATGGTCGTTCAATGATCTTGCAATGGCACGTTCAGACAATACAAGACAAACCATGACGAACTTTAAAATTCTTATAAATTGAGAATTCAAATCTTGAAATGAGATATATAAGAAATTTTGAGATAAATTATGGTGTTTATTACAATTTCCCTGAGGTTTCTCTACTTAAACAATCTTTTCCTCAAGTTTCTAAAATAAAAAAATGTCTCATCCCCATCCCAGCTGCAACCCCAGTTGTACCAACCCCACAACACCGGCCTCACCTCAAACGGCATCACTACTTAAGTTCACAAGATCCACAGCAACACTATCAAGCTTTTCAAACAAGATCCTTTACCCAAATCAAAACACGAAAAACCCCCTCAAGGCACTGCTCTTGGGGGGTGGGTCTGTGAGGCGGTGGGGAAGAAAATGTGGGGTTGGAATTTTAGAGCCTTTTAAAAATGGGGGCACGCTATCTTAGTCCTTTTGTTAGTCTGACAGGTTAAGAAGATTGTCATATGACAAAAAATCAAACGGCACACTGACGGCAAGGATTAATATGTTATTTCATAAACCTGGGAGGGAATTTGTTATTTAGGAAAACCTCAAGGGTAAATTAAATCGTAAATTATGCTTTGATTTTCATGTAAAAATGTGGTTATTAGAACTAATCTGATTGGGTAAATTTTCGAAGGGGTGTGTCATTGGTTACTTTTCAAGTTTGAACACATCATGACATCAACTCAATCTCAACTTTAGAAATGGTGGCCACAGGGATTGGTTTTTTAATAAGTGATGAACTGTTCTGTAAAGATTACAATGTCCTTGCTTCAGTACATTGCTGGCACGCCCCGGCTCATAAAAAATCCAACACTTCCACCTCACAGGGTTAGGTGCTTGACAAGGATTGCTTTCATACTTAGAAACTGAGCGTGACCACCCACTCTATCACACTCACTTTCCTATTCTCATTCATCATTATCCTAGTTTGGAACTTACATTATGATAGGAACCTACTCCAACAACTGAACAATTGGGTTGGACAATAGGTTTTTTATGGGCTTGAGTAGAACTCTATTTGAAAAACCAGTTTACCAAGGGAAGGTGCCCAAGCCATTTATAACCCATATACCCACCATTTTCCCTTTCAATGTGAGATCCTAACATTTCATTACGCTTCTGCAATCAACGTTCACGTTGACCTCTTTATCTCTTAGGTGACTTCGCGGATCCTCTTACCTCGGGTTGATCCGCCCTTCTTCGGGGTAGTAGCCCGAGCCACGGGTTAGCCTGCCATGTGTGCGCTACCATGTAGGTGTATGATTATGCTCTGATACCAATGGATAAGAATCTACTTCAGAAACTCAACAATTGGGCTGGACAATGGGTATTTCATGGGCTTGGATAACACTCTTAGAAAACCGACTTACCAAGGGATAGTATCCAAGCCATTTATAACTCACATGCCTACTCATTTCTCTTTCAATGTGAAATCCTAACACATTGAGAAAGGTTGATGTGAAATAAAACTGTGTATTTTTGTATATCAAAAAACTTGATTATGACATCGTGGATGTGTTTCACGCCCTTAATCCTAGGAGATCTAGTGCGGCATGATTTCCTACCGGTGCCAAGATTTTGCACCTTTGCTTGGGCTAGCATCAGGACAAATTATCCTCAACAATGGTGGTCCGATGAACTGCCGGCCAACATCTAATTTCGCACTGAGAAAGGTCTGTTTCGACCCAAAATTTGTGTTTTTTGATATCAATTTTATGTTGACATAGGCCTCAATTCTAGCCGTGTCTCCATACATTTAAGTGAAGACAATAATCAGTGAAATAAGCATAAATTAAGCTAACGTAAAGTGTATGTAATTACAAGTAAAATTATGTGGTGATCTCTATCTCAAAAGCAGGTGAGATTTCTGGTTCATTCTTAAAAATGATCACTAACAGTACTTGAGGCATGCAATAAATCTATATATATTTTGTCAGGAAGAAAGAAATTAAAAGGCAAAGCATCAAAGATTCGAAGTTGATTAATATTGGAGGGAACATATTATTAACATTTAAATCATACATTCAAAACAATATAATACAACAAAGAAACAGCATGATATTCTCAGATTTTCCAATTGGCCCCTCCTTTCATACAGGAAATCAACCCAACATTATCGCCATATATATATGAAAGCAAGAATATGTGTCTCATCCCTCTTCCTCAATTCACACACACCAAATCCACAAACTTCAAAGTAAAGAAATTTATGTGGTCCATTCATATTTATATTTATATATAAAAAAATAAAATAAAATAAAAAAAAAAACTGTGATCAAGCCGAGAATCGTCTTTTTCAAAATCTCTCAAAGCACGTCTCTCTGGCTCCATTAAAGAGTCCCAAAGTCACTTTAAGGAAGAGTTGCTCTTTTCACTGTGTTGAAGTCGACGTTTTTCCTTTTTTTTTTTTTTTTTTTTTTTGCTTGGAAACGACAAATGGTTTTTTCGCTTGGAAACGACAATGGGTACATATCATATATGTGAAAGCTGATTAGGGTTTCTGAGCTGTAATTATTGTCTGGCTACAGGTTCGTCCAACGTATTAATAATATTTATTTGGAAGGGAAGAAGATGCCATTGTCATCATCTTCACCCTGGTCATTGGTCAACCACGTGTTGCATGGAATCTAAACGGACCAATTATCTACCTCTAATTATATGGTTGGTAGGATAAGATTAAGTTCCCTTAATCAACTTTTGAACTGATTAAACAATGGAGTTTAATCAGCACAGAAAAATCATAAAACACGAGCTCAGTGGTATAAATTGTCTCACCACTATTAACCTAAAAGACTCGGAGTCTAGAGTCTTTCACCAAAACATCCCACTCTATTCGATGACCTGAGATCTGTAGCCTACGGTTCAAGCAATAAACTGTTTGTCTTTGGAGCTTTTTGATTATTATGAGATGGTTTCTCTCATGAGATGAGATCATCCTGCTCTCATCAGCATACATCTACAATTATTTGTCACGCAATGTTATTCTAATCATAAACCTTGACTTATAATAAGATCTTAATTATAATAAATTACTTTAGACAACTTTTCTACCGTGATTAAGTCGGTGTTTATTTAACTAATTTAAGCTAGTGTTTTTCACGCTGTATTAAAAATTCATTATTTTGTACCAAGTACTATTAATCGATCTAGAAAATTGACCATATTTCCAATTTACTCCTTCATTTTGGTTTTCTATCCAAATATCTCAGTCAATTTTTTTTTTTTTTTTTGATAACCGAGGTGTCCGGGCAAGTTAACGCGCACCTCAACTAATCTTTGACGTCCATTGAATACTTTACAAACCCAAAGAACTAGGTAAGCATCGAGATGTCCGGATCAGTTTATGCGCACCTCAAATAATTCATGAGATCTATTGAACACCCTATAAACCCAAAAGACCAGGTAAACCATAATATTGTTGTAATAGGTGGCCTCAAAGTTTGAACTTAGAAACTTAAGGAATGAAGCAAAACTTCTTAACCGCTAGATCAACCTATATCACAACCAATTTTACACACAAAGAAGTGACGAATTTGTCTTCAGTGTGAATAAAATGTTAATTAATTAATTAAGACTGTTTTTCATGGAATAATAGTCATGGCCGGTTTGATCAATACCTTTAAACATCAATGCACATAATAAATTTAGACAAATTTAGGTAAGTGCTGTATACGATATAACTTTTAAATGTTAATTACATGACCTGAGACTTTGGTCTACCATCGATAACTCTCTCATATATATGAGGTCATCATGTTTTGATCAGCAACATTAATTTGACTAACCATTTATAAATTCATACCATTGATTATGAGGATTTTCATTTTAAGTTCTATTAGTGTTTTTCACGTTTAATTAAAAAATTTTAACCAGTTTGTTTGATTAAGCTTCCAATTGGTTCCCCCCAGTTTTGCTTTCCATTCACACATTTATAGTCAATTTTTGTGAACAAGAAGAGACCAATTTGTGATTAACGTAACTCATCGTGGATGAAGACTTGTTTTTAATTCTTCAAGAAATAGTCATGGTTTCATCAATTCCTTTTACAGTTAAAGCCGAAATTCATACAGTTGTCCCTCTAAATTCCTGGAAAAAGACAGTCTTCCGTAGGGTCATAGCAACAAGAACCTGCCCCCACCACCCTCTAAAATCAGTAACTTTTTTGGCTGTAACATGTCATGATATTAATTGTGTTTGCCTTTGGCTTTTCATGATATAAAAAAAATTAAACCCCTCCAACAACCTAATGACAAACATCTGTTAAGTTTTCAAGTATAGAGAGATATTATTGATGGAGAACAACCCTAGTTCATCTAGAACTGATAGAAAAACCATTGAGAGAAATAGGAGAAATCAAATGAAAGCTCTTTATACAAAGCTCAATTCTCTTGTACCTCATCGAACCCCTATGGTATTTACACTTCTACAACTATTAGTTAATTACCGCATCATGTTGATTTTCTTTTTCCTCACTCATTATCATTCTTTTAATGGAGTTGCAGGAAGCGACATCACTGCCTGATCAGCTAGATGAAGCGGCCAACTACATAAAAAGGTTACAGACGAACTTGGAAAAAATGAAGGAAAGGAAAGACAGCTTAATGGGAATTGAAAAGCCGCCTAGTAACACAGGCATGAGTAGTGGAAGAACAATGGAGGGATTTAGATCACCGCAAATTGAGGTTCGCGAAATTGGTTCTGCTTTGGAGGTTGTTTTGATAACTGGGTTGGATTTTCAGTTCATGTTTAATGAAACGATTCGGTTGCTTCATGAAGAAGGAGCTGAAATTGTTAGTGCTAGCTTCTCCGTTGTTCATGATACTGTCTTCCACACCATACATTCAAAGGTAGATCATTTCTTTCCTTTAATCTAGAAAATCAGGCTGAAATATAATTATGTATAAAGCATTTTTAATTTTTTCAGTTGTTTAGAAAATTGTTTCGGCTTAAAATTTGTGTAGGTTGGAGATTCTGATCAAGTGGGTAATGGAGCAGCTAGAATATCTGAGAGACTAAAGAAGTTTGTCCACGATGACAGTGCCTTTTGAAGTGTAAATATGATGATTTCTCTTTAATGAAGAAAATTTGTAAAAATTATTACTCAATATCTTTGCATCTATGTGCTAGCTAGCTCCATATCAAAACCTAAATTAATGGTTAAACTAGTAGAAATTCCTCACTAATGAGTAGGGATCTTTCCTTCAAATTCTTAGCATTTTGGGTTTTGTCGATGAAATTGATAGCTATTCCAGCCATAACGATGATCACCGACCCTAGTTAAACCGTGTTAATTAGAACTTTAATGAACTATTATATTCTAGTTAAACTAGAACTAGAGGCTTTATAGTAGTTGATCCGGTAACATGCTTGAAGCTTCATTTTGGTTTGAAGTCATTATCATAATTGCTTGAGTTTAAATTTCATGTCTTACTAGAAATTTGTATGTTTGATAGCTTTAGATGAATCTTCTATTAATTTGTATGGATTTGGATATTTTAGAATGGAGAAGACTATTCAATCATATACTTTGATCGATGCAACTAAATGAGTGGTTCTTGGAGAAAGAAAATCTCGCAGAGGTTGACACATATCCTTTGTGGACCTTGCAGTCTCCTTACATTAAAACATAATCTCTACACCTCATATTCCTTGTTCGGATTTGTTCAATCAAACAATATCTAGCTTCCTCTATTATGTAGTCTAATGTTTGTGTAACACACACACACACACACACACACACACACACACACACACATATATATGACAGCATCACTTGAAGTTTGAGTTTAGGTGCTACTGATCTTATGGATTCATTTCCGAGTTATAGTGTTATACCACTGGTTTTGAGAGGGGTTGGTACTTGGAAAAGGTTTTCTTCTTCTTTTTTTTATTTTTTATAATGTGGTAAAAAAGAGGACCAAACTTCGAGTGATAGTGTGTTAGATAAGATCTAAAGCTAGGCTTGTTAATATACATATACAGATTGATACTTGGAAACATGAGCACAGCCATTGAATAACAGAACAAGTTGAAAATGGCTGAGCTCATGTTAATTAATATTAATTAGGACTATGCTTTGTGGAACTGTCAGGCGAGAATAAGTTGAAAATATTAATAAAGAGTGGTTGTAGCTTTTGTTTTATCAAGTTAATACATGCATAGATATTCATTCCCATACCATGCCCAATTGACAGAATATATAATTGTAGATAACAATAACGTAACACATATGCATATATTGTAAGTATTATATACTTTTTCATGCATTAAATTTTAAATCTACCTCTTGATTAGCTCTTTTTCTTCAATTTTATATATATACACACATATGGCTCATTTGAGTATGTACAGTAGAATTGCACTTTTTAGTTCTTTTCTTCGTCTGTAAATGGAGCCTTGATCAGAACGCACACAGACACTGAACATTTACTACATTAAAGTAGGTTGGCTAAAGGAATTATGATTCCAAGAGGTTATCTCCTATATCTCACCATGGATTATTCATTAAGCGACAATGTTCTTTCCATGGTTCAATCAACAGGACCCATTTCTTTTGTCGTAGTGGTCGGGTTACATTCTTTGGAAGGGTTCCAAGCAACAGGACCCCTTTTTTTAATTGGACTGTACATAGTCTTTTCTAATTTACAAAGATTACCCATTATAAGCATCTACATAACACACACACATATATATATATAAGTGTTAAACAATCCAAAGAAAATAATAAAAAGAGGAGGCTAGGGTTTCATTGATATTGCACAATTCAATTGAATACAAAAAGTATGATTTAACCTAAATACAAAGAAATATATAAAGGCTAAAAAAAGGAAATAATGAAAAGACAAATCTACCCTTAATAAACAATAAAACAAAATAACCCATATTTCTTAACAATAAGCATTTTCGTTTTTCATTTTTTCTTAATCCTGCGCACTTCTATTTTCTGTGTAAGTGATAAAGATTAAGTACAATATATGCCTTTATAAATAACTTCGTTTTTGGTTTTATTAAGCTCCAAACAGTACACAGCATCAAAATATATAGTGACCGAGATTATTAGGATCAATAGATCTCATATAGGAAGCAAAGCCAGAGGAAGAAGAAGACGATGACTAGAGGGAAGAGATCTTTTTCTTCTTATACATTGAACAATGACAAAATATATACAAGAATAATCGGGAATTTTGGAAACAACCATCATTTAAATTTATGGATTACAATGAGCAGCAACTTAACTGAATTAGTTATCACTTACAGACAAGGCTCTGCAGCAAAACAGAAAAAATTATTATGTCTGCCACAATTGTTGAAGTGTGAACCTTTTTTGGTGAAACCAAGAATCAATTGGAATGGAAGAGCTCGGGCGAGGCATGATGAGGAACTTGAGTCCCACGCCCACCTAGAGATCATATCCCTCTTGCTCTAGCTTGATACTTCACTACGAATTGGGCATGATGAAATCTCCCATCCACCACCGTTTCAAAGACAAAGAGAAACCCAATGAACCGAAAACTACATACTCAAAATCAACATCTAAACACCATACAAATTCTCTAAAACATATCAACATTACTTCTTACACAAGCATTGTGATTTTGATCACCTTTTTAGATTTTTTGTTGTCTTTGATTTTTTACTTTTTCGGAGATCTTTTTATACTTCTATATTTTCAAGTCCCTTCAGCACACATCTTGTAATGCACAAAATAAAAATAAAAAAACAAACTCCTATAAACCCTGTAGATTTCCCGTAATTGTCTGACTATTAAACTTTGCCTTCAGTATCTAAATTAAGGCACAATTAAATATTTGAAAAGCCCACTGCTCCAACAGATGCCCAATTCAAGCACAATATAAACTATCACTCTCATGCCATGCAAATACTATTAGTTGAAGATCTGAAACCATATCGTAAGAGTCGAGATCATAAAAGATAATAATACGGGTACAATAAAGTTTTCAATAGTATAACTCATTTTTTAGTTAATTTAAATGGTTTCATACGGTTAAGTATTATTTTTGTCTTTTTAGAATCTTGCTTTTTTTTTTTAAAAAAAAAAGAATTGTTTTCATAAACATATTTCCTCAATTAATTGATTTTGTCCCTTCTTTATAATCAATATTATTTATCTTTTATCACCTTTCCTTTGAAAACTAACGAATAAACCAAAGAATTTTCTTCTACCTTAAACAACAATTTAATAAAAGCTATAAATATAATCCAACATTTTATTTATATTTTATTACAAAAATTCTGTGTTTTAAAAAAATTACACATTGTTTCGCCTAGGTTACAACTATACAGCCAACAAGTAATTTTTTTTATAGTATTTTATTTAAATATTATTATAAGAATTCCATTTCATTATAAAAAAAAATTATCAGTCGTTTTGAGTTTTTTTTTCTCAGAATTTTTTTTTTTTAATCAAATGGTATTTTATGTGTTCTCATGTCATTAAATATTGGTCATTTATGTAAGAGAAATTAAATATTAAATCTTAATAGTTGAAAGTTATAATTTTCACGTGGTTAAAGATAATTAAAAAGTCAAAGAGAAACAAAGAATAAAAAGAGACAACGAAAAAAAAAAGTGATTTTAAGCCCCCACAAAATTGATCACTATCCCATTGCTAAATACACCTATATTATATTTTAAAAATTTCTTTTTAAATCTCTTTAATACCGAAAATAGTCCTGCTTAGTTAGGTATAATTAGGGTTTCTATTTGCACCCTTTTCCCCCTAATTTCAAACTTCAATTTTTTATTATACCATTTTTCCCCAATTTCAAACTTAGTTAGGGATTTTATTTACACAATTTTTCCCAAATTTCTTAATTAGGTTTTTTTTTATTATTATTATTATTTATACCCATTTTTCCCAATTTCAGTTTTGAAACTAATTTTCTTCTTCTTCATATTCAGATTCAGATTCAGATTCATTCTGTTGTGTGATTACTCCATAGCTTTAGTAATATATTTTCAACAAACAAAGAATTATTTGAAATAAAAGAACTGGTTTAATGATTTAGATTATTTATATTTATGGTTGTAAGAATTAAAGGTTAAAAAGTAAAACAAATAATATAGTGAATAAATATGTATTTAGAAATTATTATGTCATTAAGGTTAAACTTGTCAAAACAAAAATTTTTAAAAAGTGGGGGATATTGATTAATTTGATGGGACTCAAAATCACTTTTAAAAAAGAAAAGGTTGAAAATTGATACAAAATTATTTTAAAAATTTTAATAGGTTCTATAGTTGAAATACTGTGCAGGATTAAGTTTAAAAATTAGAATGTAAATAGCCTGGTGTGTATTAAGAAGGCAATATGGTGGTTATTGCGTGGTAAAAATCCCCAACCCAGACTCGACAGAGAAGCCTGGGACACGCCTCTGCACGGACCGAACATCAGGCTTGGGAGCAAAGATGTTCGACGAAAGGCGTGAGCAATCAGCCTACGTATGCGGGCACGACGTATGACGAGATAAAAAAAGGGGGTCCACTGTATAGAAATATCTCCTCGCTCGGACAGATCATCTTACCACGACAGCACAAACTCTACATGCTCGCCATGCAGCTCATCCAATGGGAGACTTATAAAGACACCTGCTATTAGAGGAAACACCATCATGAGCTACGATGTAGGGGCATGTGAGTTTCTAACCGTCATGTGACATCAGACAACGTGACTGACGCACTTATGATCATAACATTACCGAAGCCCCTTCTCTCTTTAAAAAGACGACAACGACCACAGAAAAAGGGACGAGATTGGGAAAAGAGAGAGAATGGAGAAAAGACGACAAACGGGAGAGAGGACATAAAAAAACTCTCTCTGGTCCAAGCATCAGGCCAAAGTAGAGTAACTAAACAGAAATATCTCCACCCCCAACACCCCCCCCCCCCCCCCCCCCCCCCCCCCCCCCCCCCCGGGGGAAACCCTTCTCTTGTATCCCGACATCACATAATCAGATAAAACATCAGTGGATGTAGGCCTTATTCCTTTCCTAGCTGAACCATTTTAAAAACTTCTAGTTTTCACACCATTCTCCGGGAGGCATATCACCACCTTGGCCAGCTCTACATGTGGGTTGAGTCTTCTTTGCTGGTTCCTAGGAATCACGCACCCATCTTGCTTGGATCTCTCCGAAGTCAATCGAGTATTTCTGGTTGATGCATGTCTTCGTCTCGACGTTTTAGTCGGTTTGGAAATTCGCCTCAACAGTGGTGACCAAAGCACAAATCCTATCAGAGCAGAGACTAACTTGGAGACAAATTGTGTATGAATTAGGGGTTTTTAAAAGGACTGTATAAACAACACTTGTACGATTTAAAATTTCCTCTTTTTCTCTTTTGTACCATTGTCTACTTGCAGTCTTATCAAAACTCCAAACTCTGACAACCAAAATTGTTTATGCTCCTTAATGTAGGAGTATTCAACAGGTAGCCTGAGAAATTGCTTGATACTCCTTTAATTTTCTTTCACACATTTCAATATTCACTATGAGTTGGGCATGATG